CAATATAAACTCCTGTGTATGGTAAAGATGTATCTATCCATCCTGTATTTTACATTGCAGTTTTCCCATAGGATCATACCAGATCCTATCATTGATTCTATGTGCTTGGTGTCCAGAGAACTTACAACAGTTGTCACTATGTGAATTCCTGAGACTTTCCCCCTATTCTGTGTACACATGCCTTATTCTCCTTCCCAGAAGTGTGAGACACTTACTGTTCCAAGTGTGCTTTCTCATATGTACCTATCTCAGGAAAGTTCCCAGGATTAGGAGTTGTATTTAGTAATTCCAGATAAGAGATTTGAGAAGCATTAGCCCCCAGTTGAACCTTAGGTGAACATATTTGAAAAGAAACAGAATTTCCAGGGAAAGGCACAGCTATTGCATGTGTGACTGACAAAGCAAAACTAAAAACCACCTAAAGAATCGTCAATATAATGAGAGAGAACAGAGCCTGCAAGCTGCACAAATTTTGCAGATTCCTACACTGTCCCGTGGACTACTGGTCCTTGCCAAGTAAAAGCCATTTCCACAGGTGCTTTGCCCTGAGGAAACCTGTTGGATGTGTTGGATGGGTAGTCACAAGCTGATTGAGACTAGGCTGCATGGCTCCCAGCGCTTCTCCTCAGGGTGCCTTTTTTTTTTTTTAACCTTCCCAGAGCACAGCACTAGGTTTTCTCTTTAATTGGGGGTGATCCTTTCAACAGCTGCTCTTGCATCTGCCTTGCCTGCAAGTGCCCTCCTCCCCTCCACTAAATTGCACGTTGTATATCTTGTTCCTCCTCTCACTGTAGACCTGGATAAGAGCAGGGAGCAGTAACTACAACATAGCCTGGAGACTGTTGTATCTTGTCTTGAGAGTCCTTCTACCAAACAAATTAGTTCTCTATTCTTTTAGTTTGGCTTTATTTGCCTTCTAGAACATAAGCAGAATGCACCCAGAGTCTTTGTTGGGATGTAATACAAATGATTCCCAATAGAGTCTTTGCTCACCTCTGAAACCTCATGAGCTGGGCCTCCATTATACACATTTCCTTCTCTTAGCATCTTTGTCCTCCAAACTCCCACCAGAATGTCCCTTTGAGCTCTGCTTATAACTTTCTAGGGGGTTCTTTAATCTATAGCCCCAAGTTCTTCCATATTCTTCTTGCAAACCAATTCCGATGACCAAAGAACCACCTAGTCAGGTTTATGATAACAGAAACCCTACTCACCGATACCAGTTTTCTCTACTAGTGACTTTCATCATTGCTATGACAAGCTACCATCTAGAAAAGGGTTGTTTTAACTCGCAGTCTGAGAAAGGGCACAGTCCATCATGGAGGGAAAAGATGGTGGCAGGGACTCACATTGAGTCCATAGTTAGGAAGCACAAGGTGGACAGGAAGTGTTACTTTACAATCTCAAGGCCTTCTCCAAGTGACCTACTTCCTCCTGTGAGGTTTCACTTCCTGAAAGTTCTACAACCTCCAAAACAGCACCATCGGCTGGAAAACAAGTGTTTAAACACATGGGCTATGGGAGACATTTCACATTCAAACACAAGTCCTGTAGTCCCAGCACTTGGTAGGCTGAAATGGAAGAATCATTTGACTCTGGAGTTGAAGGCCAGCCAACTAGATGGGAGAGAGAGAGAGAGAGAGAGAGAGAGAGAGAGAGAGAGAGAGAGAGAGAGAAACAGAGAGAGAAACAGAGAGAGAAACAGAGAGAGAAACAGAGAGACAGAGACAGAGACAGAATGAATATTATGAGTTCCACCTAGGAAATACTGTAACAGTTACACACAGAAACAGTAATGACAGAGACTATCCTCCTCCCAGGCATCAGTGAGGGGTGTAGGTCTCCTCTGAGCTGGGTAGAGTGGGTTGAGTTGTAAAGACTCTGACAGGTAGAAGAAACAGGGCTATCTCAGGAAGGAATGAGTTCCCAGTTACAAGGGATTCTTCCAGAGGTTGGACAGCAGATTAAGGGGCCTACCGAGATGGCCTTTCCAAGATGGCCAGGAAGGGAGGAAAGGCACAAGAATGGACAGAATTAGCATGGTTCTGAAGGTCTGCGTCCCAACTCTGCTGGTCACTAATTTTGTGACCTGGGGCATCTTCTCCCTGAGGTTTAAGGCTGTCATTGTCTACCTGAGGCTAATAATTGTGAGAATTTAATGGGAAACACCTACCCTTCAGGCTCTTTAGTGGCACCATTAGATGACTAAGCTTATAAAAACCCAATTGGCAAGGTCCTGGGGCTAACATACTGGCAAAGATGCATCATCCTCCCCCCAGAAAACCTTGTTGGGCAGCCTGGTTCTTCCTGGCCTGACTTGATCCTCTGTTCCCCAAACACCAGAGCCACTTCTCCCTCCATCAGGCTAGGTGCCATGAACACATCACTGTCTCTCTAGGTTTCTCGCCTCATCTGTCAGGAAGATGGAAGCTGCCAGAGATGGGCTCTGAGACAGGCAGTCTAAGGCACAGTCTAAGGGGTCTGGGACACTAGTCAGCCATGTTACACTGAATCTTTACAAAATGAGGAGGCTGAGCTAGATGACAGTAGCACCTAGAAGCCACTGGAAGGACTCCTGCATGAATCACCTCCGCAGCTGCTGTGTGGGTACTGCTATGTGGGTTCTGCAGTTCAGTCAGACTCCTGTCCAAGGTCACACAGGTAAGGAGCCAAGGCAGAGGCCATGGATGTGACCCATGCACGATACCCCTCTTCTGGCTCCATACACTGAGATATGAAAGGGAACCTGAACAGTCTCTGGATGCCATGGTTTTGTGGGCTGAAGATGACACACTTTTCCAGACATGACCCCTGCTCTATCTTAGAAGATATGAAGGTTGGCCTGGCAAAGGCAATGCTGCCTGTTTCCTTGCTTGAGGACCTTGACTGAACCCTTTAACTTCTCTGTCCCCAATTGCCATGTGCTTCTCCTAGAAAGCCCATTTTACAGACGAGCAAACTGGGACCATGGAGGATAAAGAACATGCCCAGTGGAAGGAGTCCTGGATCCAGATTTACTTTGTTGTCCAAGGTCTTCTGTGCCCATCCTGGGAGTATGGCCATCACCTAGGAAGCAGAGACCTGTCTGGAGTCCACAGAAGAGCTTTCAGTCCACTTCCAGTGTAGACCAGGGCCAGGGGAAACGGGAGAGTAAGACCTGGGTACAGACTGGAACATTGTACTTGAGTGGCAGGGGGTAGCAGCATGCTTGAAAACCGTTTGGTGAGTCAGGCAATGATGGAGATACACTTAGGTGGCCAGGGACAGGGCTGAGACAGAAGGCAGGGTGACTGAGAAGCTGAGGTAATCATTAACAGAGAGCAGGAAACTGGAGGGATGAACGGGCCTGAGTTTCTAGTCTCTGCTGCCTCCCTAGCGCACAGGTGTGGAGTCCATAGTAATTCAGAAATTTAGCCACCTGCCCCACTGCTTTTGTTGCGTGATCCTGTCCCATATTCTCTGCAGTTACAGAAGAATAGCTGGTTAAAAATTAAGACAAGACCCAGCGGTGTCAAGAGCTATGTTAAGGTACCCACAGACTTGTGTTAGCTTGTTGAGCTTGTACAAACACCTTGTTATCCCAAATTATACAGCTGGTTGTAAAATGCTATCACAGTCGTGAAGTTCCCACAATATACTGTCACCCAAGACTTAACCTCAAATGTAACATTCCTTCTTGTTTCATCCCTGGCCCCCCTACTTGTAACTCCTTTGCTTAAAAAAAAAAAAAAAAAAAAAAAAAAAAAAAAGCACACTACTCCTGTTCAGGTCTGATCGCTATCTACCCGTGGCCCTAACTAGTTACAAGTTCTGAGTACCCCGTGTTAATGGCATAAAGTTGTTACTGCTCATCTAACTTTGGTGGCCTCGTCCTCAATATTTGAACGATTCCCAAACCCAACAGCAGGGTGCTATGCCCAGTCTACTGTTAACAGCCACGGTCATCCATAAATCCCTTGAAAGGGCCAGACCCTCACCCAACAACCTGCTTTGGTAGCCATGACAGGCTGCAAAAAAGACCAAGCAACACATGGGCCCCTGACTCAACAACATGTTGCCCGACCTCCTAGTCACTAGGAAGCTAAATACCCTCCATGTGGCAAGGAACCAATCAGAAGTTAGCTTGCGGGCTCTGGACCAATCCTGAGACTGTTGTGGAACCCAGACACTCCTCTTGCTCCACCCCAATATGTTCCCTGGCCCCGCTGCTGCTCCAGGTCCCACAGCTTCACTGTGTTCATGGACTGGGGAACCAAATTAACTGGTAAAAGTAAAGACTCTTTGGTTTTGCATTGGATCAGGTCTCTTGGTGATTTGGGGGTTCTGAGGTTGGGCACAACCCAAACAGCCTGTTGTGAGTGGGAATTACAGCTCCCATTTTATAGAGTAAGAAACCCAGGCTTGGTGTGTTCCCGGGCATGTTGAAGGCCAGGCAGAAAGAGCCCAAAATCTGGGCCCTGCTGCTTCAGTCTACAGATAAGAGCCTGGAACAGGATAGGGCCAGCGTTCCTTAACTGACTGTGGCCTCCTGGGCACTTCACCAGGGCCTACATTCCTCTTCTCCAGACAAAATCTTGGGAACGGGTGTGAAGATACAGATGGAAAGGGAGGGGTGCCAGTGTCATTGGATCTTCTATTCGCAGCTGCCCTGCCTTGGCCCTGGCTGAGTCCCTGTACAGACTACAAGTCAATCAACATTCTGCCAGTACTTGGTAGGGCGTGCAGATCCGTCAGGGCCAATGTTGCTGTAGGCACTCAGCGCCCCGGAATGCTCTCCTACTGCGGATAGCACTAGGGCGGGAAGCAGGGAACGCTGGGGCCAGGGCCACCCTCCCAATTCCAGGCCAGCACTAATAAGGTAGCCTCTAGGAGAACGGCCTCTCTGATTCGCATGCGCACTTAGCTGCCTGTCCTCGCTCCCCCCATGCTGCCCCAAGACCACGCCTCTGCCTCCAATGGGCGGAGGCTTAGAGGCTGGGCGGGACAGACCGAAGCCGGGGTCCAAGCTGGGGCAGGCAAGCTTCAGCCCCAGCAACTCCCAGCTGCAGTGCCTGCTGGTCCAGCCTCCGCTCCGGTGACCGCGCCGTGCCCTGAATCCCGGGAATCCGTCTCCAGCTGCGGCGACGCGGCAGGTAGGAGGCGCTGCGCGGAGGGAGGCGTGTACGAGCGCGTGTGTTTGTGTGTGTGTGTGTGTGTGTTTGTGTGTGTGTGTGTGTGTGTGTGTGTGTGTGTGTGTGTGTGTGCGCGCGCGCGCGCGCGCGGTGCAGGTGCAGCGCGGGTCAGTGCTTGCCTTCGCAGCACGAATTGGAACAGGGGTTGCACATCCCGCGGAACAGGGCTGAAAGGTGAGCGCTGGCCTGAAGGCCTAGGAGGCGGAGCACATCCCCACTCCCCGCCTCGAAGATCCTCATCCCCCACCTCCACCCGCAGCCCTGGGTGAGGGGCCTTCCTCTCATCCACCTGGGTATTCTAATGCTGTCTGTACTCCCATTATAGAAGTCTGTGCTTATCATCCGGCTTGACTCTTTCTAATCTTCCTTATAAATCCCCTCTCCTGTTCCCACCTCTGCCCCCTCACCTTGTTTAACCATCTAACCTTTCTAGGTGCCACCATCCCATGTCTTGGAGAAGGCACGAAGCCAAAGACCCCAGGTATATGGTCCATGATCCTCAGGTTGAATAGGGGCCTTCTCCTTGGCTCCAGGCTTGGGTGTGTGGTGCTGGGAGCAGGGCGGGTCTGGCAGAGACCGGCTCCTCACCCCACCCCCAGCCCTCAGGATTAGGGTGTAGGAAAGGCCCTCCTAGGGGGCCCAGAGGTGGAGTAGGATAGATCCTTAACAGGTGCTAAATTGTCCCCTGGCACCCTTTCCTGTGATGACATCCAACCCCAGACTTCACACAGATGAGTCCCAGTCACAGAAGGGACTCTGAGCCTTAGAGACTAGGGTGACCCAGCCAGAATTGGCACCCAGGTCCCCGAGGCACAAGCTGCGATCTCTGTGTCAGAAGGTGGAGCACTCAGCCAATGCTGAGGGCAGCTAAGTGTTCAGGGAGCCTTCCTGGGAAGGTCTGCCTTGGTAAAGGAGAGGTTTGAGACGGTCCATGATCCTTCCTGGTCCTTGCTACAGGCCTAGTGGGTAGAGGTGAAGACCCGAGGGGTGAGATGTGGTGGGCCCTGCTGCTGCTGCTGCCCCAGGCTGGGTTAGAGCTGAAGCCAGGGTGGCCTGTCCTGAGAGGCCTCTCTTCCCATTGAGGGGCTGGTGGGCCAACAGATACGCCCCTGATTTGAGTCCTGAGAATAAGCCAGAGTCGATACTAGGCAGGGCCACCCTTGCCTGGGAGCTGATAGTTCATCCAAACAATGATGGCCTTAGAAAGGGCCTTAGAATTAAAACTGTGAAACAGGCCGGGAAGAGCCTGCGGTCTGGAAGAGCCGTGTGTGCGACGAGGGCCATCTTTGGCTACTCTGGGGGAGAGGTTGCTGTAGAGGGTCCATCAGGGAGAGCCTCCACTTCCTCTCTGTTCCCTTCAGCACCTCACCTGAGCTAGGTGTGGCAAGAGAGGAGGAGACCCGTTTGGAGCAAGAGTGGAAGGAAGGTCCAGGGGAAGTTTCACAGGCCCCATTACTGGGTAAGAGCAGGTGGCTACCTCTGAGACAGGGGCCAGTGAGGTGAGGCTTGGGCACTGGTGGCAGGAAGCCTGTGGCTTTTGGTGAGACATCTGTGGGCTTTTGGAAGGCCTCTTCTGTCTCTGTGTTCGCCTATCCTACTTTCCCTGAGTGCACTTGGGATGGCTCAGAGATCAAGCTCCCCCCAAAAGGAGGCCTTCCTTGGAACCTCAGAGGGCGCTGGGAGGCCACTCTCCGCCACCCTCTTACCTGAAGGGCCTGTCTTCTTTTTCCTCGAGGCTGGCTCCTTGCCTTTCTGCCTGCCTGTACCCTTGAAGTAGAGAGCTTTGCCTGTGGCTCAGTTTCCCTTGTGAGGCTAGATTGCTGCCTTGTCAGAGACTTAGGGATGGTGATGGTGACATCAGCTCTGGTCACTCTGCACTTTACTATGAGGTATGTAGTAGTCAATTGACAACCATTGTCACCGGGTTCCTTTATTGAGGAAAGAGAGGCTCATTTTGAGGTAAGAGGACTAAACAGCAGTGTGGAGGGGGTGTTCACTGAGGTGGGGCCCTGTTGGCTTTAGCGGATGAGAGAACCTGCTGACCACTGTAAGTGCCCTGTTTACTGTCCTCGTCAGTCTGGCCAAGTCCTCTGGCCACGCCAACTCCCCCCTCCACTGGGGAGCAGCAGGGGTAGGGTGGCTGAGGGGCACCGTATGTATGTCTTGCAAAGGGCTTCTAGGTGTGAGCCCTGACTGTTCCCAGTTACACAGAGCAGGCCTGCACACCTTCTCCAAGTAGCCATGTAGGCTGGGTGGCCAGTGGTGGTCTATCTGTAGCTGGTGGTATTAACTGAGCCCTCCTCTCCCCTAACTGTCCCTCTGGGCCCCTCACAACTACCCAAGTCCTCCAGACATCCTCTTTTCCCTTCCAATCCTTGCCTTCCTACAGTTCCCTCGGGTCCCCAGGCTCGACCTTCAAGGCCGCCACCTCTGTAGCCTGTTTTCTGGTTGTAGTACCACCCTGGGGTTGCCTCAGATCATGTGGAACTACTGACTTCCTTTGGGCCTTAGGCCCTGCCTTTCCTTGCTCAATAAAGGCAAAATGGTCCACATGTCTTTGGGATACCAACCTGGACTTCATGAAGCCTGTTCTTGAGCTGTATATGAGGCTGTAGAGGGTGTTTTTGCTACCCAGTAAAGGCTGATTTACCACACCCTGTTGTCATTTCTGGAACCGTTGTTCTTGGGACCCCAGGCTTCGCAGAGTTGGTCGGGAGAGTAGGGTGGTGGCCTGTGGATGTGTCTTGGGATCTTATGTCTCAGTGGGACATGTGGTCAGGAAGAGAAGGTGCCCGTGGCCAGAAGAGACCAGGCCTGTTCATGGGCACGAGGTTGCCCATTGCTGTCAGGTGTGCACAGGTGTGAGTCAGGGGCTGAGTCTGCTCCTGCCTAGCCAGTGTCTGCCTGGTACCCTCTGACACCTGCTGGGGTCAGTCAGGCTGGGGTAAGGACTCCATGACTTCTCACTAGTAATTGTAACAAGGGAACTTTATGTTACATTGAGGGCAGTTCAAGAGGTAATGTCACCTCCTCCAAGCAGGAAGGAGCAGCCTGTCCTCTATTCCTCAGAAATGCTCTCCTCGTCATTGCTGAGCCCAAAATGTCTGAAAATCGGTGACTTAAAACAGTGTGGCTTGATTTATTCTCCTGTGGTCCTGGATGTCAGAAATGAGCCTTGTGGGACGAAAGCCAGCCTAGATACTTCTCGGGCTCCAGGGGGGAGACTGGACTTTGTCTCCTCCAGCTCTTGTGACTGCTGACATCCCTTGTGACTGAGTCACCCCGGTTTCTACCCCATCTCTATTTCCTTTTCCTCTTCTGCACTCAAGCCTCCCCATGCCTCCTTATCTTTCTGTTTTTATTGGTTTTATTTTATTTGTTATTGTGTGCATATGAGGTTTGGGTCTGGCTGTACACGTGCTGTGGCTGGTGAGTGGAGGTCAGAGGACAGTTTTGTGCAATTGTTTTACTCCTTCTACCATTACCTGAGCAGTGGACATGGAACTTAGGAAGTTAGATGTGGCTTAACAAGTGCCTTTATCTGGTTGGTGAATGGCTAGTTGCCCCTCCCTCCCTATTTTTGGAGCCAAGGTCTCTTGTAGCACAGAATAGTCTTAGATTTCAAACTCCTCATCTTCATACTTCTGCCTCCAAAGCATTAGGGACACCAGCATGTGCTGTCACACAGGGCTCCGTCCATCCGTCTGTCTGTCTGTTCGTTCATTCATTCATTCATTCGTTCGTTCATTCAGGGCAGTGGTGAGGAAGGACCCCAGAGTCTTGTCAGTGCTAAGCAGGTACTCTGCCCTGAGCCACATGCCCAGGCCTGTGTCTCTCATAAAGACTCTTCCAGTTACCATTAGGACACTCAGTGTCCTCCCTCCATCCATCTGCAAGCCCTTAGTACTACATGAGGCCACAGGTCTAAGCATTCCCATGTGGATATCTTTGGGGGCCATTATCAGCCCAAAGAAGAAACTGTTGTGTCTTTGCAGACACCCCACCCCAACACACACATACCCTACTCTTTGACGCCTGCTACAGCTGGTTCCCTTAGTCAAGGTCCTGGATAGCTCATGAAGTCACTCGGTGACTGTGTATCTTCTGCCTGCTTCCTTTCCGGTAGGCCCGAGACTGTTTTGTCTCTGGCACTGGTGCCCAGCCTGAGTCCGCAGAGCTAGAACCTAGTGATATTAGGAGAAAGGACTGTGTCACCATGTCCCTGTGGCCCCCCCACCCCCAGTGTCTGGATCCCATCCTGCTAGGACTGTGACTATCTCTTGTGTGAGATGTGTGTTCAGTAAAGCTAGTGCATGGTAGGTCACTGGACACCCCCCCCCAGCACCTTGTAAGAGACAGGTGAGCTGGGCATGGTGTCTCATGACTTTAACTCTAGCACTTGGGATGGGGAGTGGGAGCTGGGCAGCAGAGGGCAGAGGCAGACACATCTCTGTGGGCTGTATAACCAGCTCCATCCTAGGCCAGCTAAGTCGACATAGTGACACTCTGAAGAAAACAAACAAACAAAATGAAAGAAGAAAGGGAAAGGCCCACTTCTGTTGGGTGGGAATAGGTATGAGGGTGGGGAGCAGGTTGGGCCTTGGATCACAGAGGTGAACTGCTCGGGCCAGCCCTTCTGCTCCGCCCTTCCTGGCCCCTCCTCCTTGTTTAGGAGTGAGGCCTTTCAGGGCCAGCTTGGCATCTTGAGCTCCAGTTTGTCTCTCCTTGGGCATGGGGAGGGGGCACTGGCATCAAGGTTGCTATGGGCAAGAACTGCACTCAGCTCAGAGTAGTTACCAACATGTCCTGGTCTGCCATCCTCAGAGGCAGAGTCTCCAAGGAAGGGGGAGCCCAGCTGACCCAGAGCACCGGGCCTGCGGGCCCTGTACTTCTGTCAAGTGCAGCCAGGGCTCCTGGTCCAGGCTCGCCTGTGCCTCAGGCCTCCTTTCCCTGTCAGCCTT